CAAAAAACGAGTGTTAATTGGCTCGTCACTATCGTAACTCCCTTGGTAGAAACAGATGGTCTACCGATAATAATCTTTATGGTGATGACGAAAATTCTAATCGAAGAAAAGAACTGTGGAGTCTGGACATAACACTATAGTTACATATAATTACTATTTATACATAAAATTACATAATTATATATAATTATATGTGAAACATTTTTTCTCGAGGTGTTATTAATTTTTTTCAGCAATAGAGAATATAATTATGCACGTCTATATTTGAGAAAGCGTATATTCTACGCTTGTATCATTTACCTTAACAGATGATATTAACTTTATAGCTTCCTCACGAAGTTTAGTAAAATAAGAAGCAAATCTATAGCTATCTTCTTCCTTATATATAATACCCCAATATATGCATACCGCTAGTTTAAATCTCCTAGAGAATATTTCGGAAGTGTATAATGCAAGAATTCGTTGATACAATACATAAGAAGGTTTGTTATTGTTATCTAATGCAACAGCCATGGCAAGAAGCAATGCAAGTGGGGTTTTATACTCTGACTCAATTATGGGAATAATTAAAGCTAATCACGATGAACAAAAGATATTAGTGAGATTCCATTTAAGTAATATTTTAGTGACAGGAGAAGTAATGCTATAAAATTAAGATAACAGCAGATATATAGATATACTTGAATAAGAGATTGCTATTTTCCTTTCAGTAATTATTAGTGGATCAAAAGGATTCGTATCAGATATACGATATTTATTCCTCATAATTGCGATTAAATCCTTCACTGCAGGCGTGATCATCTTTAGTCATTCTCAGTATGCAAAAAACATACATATTATTAAAAAAAATATATTCCTCTTCTTTGTCGCCAGAATTGTATTTGTAAACAAGCTTTCTTAGGTAAGTAGGATTTTTTAAAATAGCTGTCGTGCATTTTGCATGAATCTTCATCATGCTTTCAATAAACATTTTTGGTTATAATAACGTTAAGGGAACAACTTCAGTCAGGGAGAATTCCTTTAATAACTGTACCTCAAGCAAAATAAGTAGTTGTTCAGAATACTCTTTCAACATCGTTGCTAATATGCGTAATGGATTTCCACTGTTTTCATTGATTTCTTGACGATTCGATTTATCCGAATCCATTTTTAGTAGATTAAACTGACATATACATCTATATTTAATATAAATCTCATAAATAATTGTCAGCTTTTAACTTTGTGATGCTGGTCAACCTTCTAAGCCTAGATAATTTGATCCCTCGTCTTTTTTGTATATATTCGCCGAATACGTTTCCATCCATATGAATCTAACTTCTATATCTCAAAATATATAAAGTACAAATGAGTTTTATAACAATTATTAATCGGACAGCGGCAATGCTAAAGATAAAGATAGAGGTAGAAAGTAAAAGTAAATAATTAAATAGTAAAATAGTTAAATAAGAGCGCGTATATGAAAAGTATGGAAGGATGAATGAGGTAAGAATTTAAAGTCTCCTTCTTGGCTATGTAAATGCTGGTATAATAAATTCTATTCTATAACGATTATTAACGATTATTTCTAATTCACAATCTTATATGAGCGAAATTGCTCTAGCCAATTTCAGTGTTAAAAACATAATTCAGAAGAAGGACAGTATTTTCCAGGAAACATTTAACTTTTAAATGACATATGCGTGTATAACATTGTTTTAAATACATACCTGAGATTAATGCAGCTCAGAAGTTTGAAGAATATCGTTAATTTTAAACGATATACGCCTATCTTAATATTGTCATTATTCATAACGCGAGTAGCAGTCAGAAAAATGTATCCTCTAAAGATTCGAAGACCAACGAAAGAAGGCATGAAAAGTTATAAATGTACATACATAATCAGACCCAGAACACTATATATATTTTTCTACAGTGCACGTTTGGTAATATAGATAGAAATAAATAGAGAAATAATTCCTTGTGACATTGTCATCTTTGTTTTACTGTTATTTTCTGTGTTTCAATTATGTGATATATACAATAAAAATTTTATGTTAAATTTAACATATTTCACATGTCCCAAACGGTCCACCCAAATTTTTGTGTTAATTTAACATAAGATGAATATATTAGACAGTATCACAAATATTATGTAAAAAAATTAACACAATGAGCGTAACATGCCTCTGTGATATTTAACATATGCAATATATAGATTTAACAGATATGCCTCTTATGCCTAATTGCTTCTGTGATATTTAACATATGAGATATATAAAACAGATAATTACTGTTATTTTTATGTTATTTGTTTATATTTATCTATAAAGTGTGTTATTTTAACTATGAGAAATGTAAAATTTTGATTTAACACAAAATATTCAAATAACACAATCACATTATGTTAAATTATTAACACCCGAATATGTTAAAAATTCAACAAAAAAATTTTAACAAGGATTCATTTTAACACAAAATATCTTTTACCGTGTATGCATTATATGTACAAATATACAATATGCATTTAAATGTACAAGTTTTCAAAAAATTTATTGTTAAACATTTAATGTTAAAATCGATATACTAACTTTCATTTAAATTGACTTAAGGGTTATTAAATGATTTAGTGTGATTATTCATCGGAATCATAAAAAATGTTTCATTTTAGTATTTTTAATTACGTTTTTATTGTATATAGTTATATCACATAATATCCATATAATGCTCAAATAATTTATATTTTGATTTATATGTATAAATATATATCGATAAAAATTATTTTTCATTTTTGAATTACATATATGAATGCAAATACATTAAATATGGTAAATGTAAGATGTCAGCTGTGATATATAAAGTTACATATAAGAACATATTTACAAAAATAATATTATAGAAATCAATTGAAAATACTAGTCTAATCTAGCACATAATTGACGATAATCAATTACATTTTGATAACTTTTCAGATTAAGAAAGATCTAGCATACCAACATTACCCCCTCTTTTTTTATGAAAATTGTCATGTAACCGGCCTAATGTTTTTCCTGTCAAAGATCCAATTATTTTGCCGGAGATCGATAACTTATAGTTATCGAAATTGCCGAAATTGTCGAAATTAAAACTATCTTGTAATACGTCCTCTAAAAAAAAAATCATCGGATTTGGAGATCAATTATTAAAATTATTAGCCATTATTAAAATTTAAAAAAGGTATCAGATTTGACTCTTCTACCTGCTGCTGGAAATATTTTTCCAAATACCGAAGAAAAATCGAGGCGTGCACTTAAAAAAAGGTCAACAAAATTTTGTGCAGTTACTTAGAGAATTTTTTCCCGGAGAGCACGGTTGCCAGGTCTCCAGATTTCAATTGGAGATTCCAGTTTTCGGGACCAATCTCCAGTTCTCCAGCAGACGGGAAAAATCTCCAGTTTTTCGCTCGCGTGGGGTATTTATTAATTGGATATTTAAATTACGTGGAAATTAATAAGAAAGTCTGTGATTATGTTTGCAGTTTACGTTATTTTACGAATAATAAAAAAATTTGTGTGTCATTCTGTTCGCACTGTATGTAATTATTGTAATAATTGTAATTATTGTAATAATAATAAAAAGATCTCTGTGATTGTGTTGACACTTTATGTCGGTCAAATATTAATGACAAAAAGAAAGTCTGTAACAATGGTCGCAAAACACGAATTAAACCCTGCGCCTTTTTTTCTCTTTTTTTTTAATGAAACAATCGGCAGGCCTCCAGTCGAAATATGAAATTTTCAGCGCATGAACCTTCTGATCCCAGCCTACAGTGCTCGGGACCTAACAATCGTGCCGGAGAGCCGAAGATTTCATCGAAAAACCGGATTTTCTGGCTGAAAACTGGAAGATGGCAACCGTGATTGCGAATTAATAGGCCTGTTCTTTTTGGCTGAACTTTTGCACCTTTTCATCTTTCTTTTTCTCCTTCTTTCCTCCTGAAGAGAAAAGGAAGAAAGATAAACTGTTCAGCTAAAGTTCAGCTAAAAAGAACAGGCCCATTGACCCACTTTAATACCGAGCATTCTTGTTACGCGTATTAACTAGTAACTTTCTATTACATTATTTTAATTTCAGCAATGTATTTAAAGAATGATGTACTAAATTGGTAGAATATGCATCAAAATGATTAATTAAATACACATATCATGTATATGTTTACACGGTTCGCCGAAATTAAGATAATTCAATAGAAAGTTATTAGTTAGTATTCGTATATCAAGTGCACGATATAAACTAGGCAAATTCCCGCGCAACATGACCCAACATATCTTCAATAACGTGTTTGTATAATATATAATATATTTAAATATATATAATTATATTGAATTAGGGCTACTGTCAGGACCAATTTCACCAACCACGGTTAGATTAACCGACGGTTAAAGTTAGCAGGGTGACCAACAGACACATATTTTCTCGTAACCTCTTGGCTCTAACCTGAAATTTGTGGGAAGCAATAAACAGTGTATTATACATGTGAAAAAAAGTTTAAAAGGTAATATAAATATATATAATTCATCCTTTTTTACAAGTGTTGAACGATCAGTTTCTTTGTTTTCAATGACATCACGTTGTAAAAATATTAAATCTAATAAAGATTCTTTATCTGCGTTAGAAAAATTCTTTTGCCTTTGCATGTTTTAATCTGTAAAAAAAAATAAAATTTATAATGTCATTTTATATTATATAAAGAAACATATTATATATATTTATATTACCTTTTAAACTTTTTTTCACATGTATAATACACTGTTTATTGCTTCCCACAAATTTCAGGTTAGAGCCAAGAGGTTACGAGAAAATATGTGTCTGTTGGTCACCCTGCTAACTTTAACCGTCGGTTAATCTAACCGTGGTTGGTGAAATTGGCCCTCACCAAGCTCAGTTGATTTAACTAGGCCAGTTAATCCATCGGAATTAACCAATCGCATTTGTCATTTTGTTTGAAGAATTGACAGATTGATCAATTCCGATCGATTAATTGGCTCAGTTAAGTTAACTGAGCTTGGTGACAGTGGCCCTTAAATATGTTAATTATAAAATCATATAATTAAACATCTAAAGATATATTTCTATTATAATTTTGACTACAAAATAAATTTAACCTTTTCTAAAATATGTTTTGTGAACATATTTTAACACATATATGTAATTGATCTTTATATTGTGTGTTGAAATATTTTTTCTTATATAAAATAAAATCCTAATAGGACGTCTGCAATAAGATATCAGATATATCTCTCTCTTAGGAGGGATATAAAAACAGAATAACTTAAAAAGAATATTTTTATGGCAAGATGTAAATATCACTAGATTATTGTTTACATTATAGAGACAAAATCGCCGTTAGAATATTGTACATCTGTAACGACAAGCGAATTTAAAATGACATTTTCTATGAAGATAAAAATGATGAGCATGTTCTGATGTAAAGGATCAGTTCACAAATGAAAGAAGAGTAATGCTAAGGCACTATAAATGGGAGTATTCCTATCCGCCATTTTCATGCCAAATAAGTGCCACTACAGCGAGTGTGACTACAGCGAGTGTTACAATGCTGATCGAAAGTCGCTGCATTTAATCCAAAAAATATGTATTTTTCCATTTAAAAAAAAAAGACATTCACACAAATACGAAAATAATTAATTTCTGTGTCAGAATAGAAATTTGTTCTTTTTATCGGCAAATATTTATGTCTCAGAAAGATAACAATCAAGACGTTATTTTCTTGTTGCAGAAATAAATTGTATAAGGGCATAAGTATTTGCATTTAAAAAATACCTGGCTGTGACGCAGTTAATTGCAGTAATCGGGTTGACAAGGGCTATAGGTTCTTCTCGTTCCCGAAGGGTAAACGTGGGACAAAATGGGTTGACAATATGCGACGAGATAAGTGGACACCAACCACCTTTTCGCGATTGTGTGAGGTAAGTATCAAAATAAATATGATAAAAAAAAATATAATTTTTTTTTATCATATCACACAATGGCCTAATACTCAACGCTAATAATATTTTTTGTTTGTTTCAAGGTACATTTTGAAGATTCCCAATTCGAAGCCCACCGCATTGATGGCTGGAGAAAACTTAAACCGAATGCAGTCCCAACGCTTTTCGATGTGCCCAACCCCCCGCCACGAATCAACCCACCTAGACGAAAATCACTGTACAAGGTTACTTTCGACAAAAATTAACCACATTTTTTTAACCTATCACTGTCAAGATTAATATTTTTCGCTCCTTTCAGAATCGTGATGAAAATGCAACGCCTGCTCAAGTAGTAATAGTCGGTTTTGACCGATCGGTGCTTTAAGAATTGGTAAATTTTTCAAACCGCAATACTATATATATTAATGGAAGAAGATTGAATTGCACGATCCAGAATCTTAATCGTCTGAGTTTTTCAATTGCAGAATTCAGTTAACCAAAAGAAAGCTACTAAGGAGTGTGGCGAGACTCCTCACTTTAATAACGTATGCAACTTTAAACAAACAAATTAAAAATATCAAAAAAGAAAAGATGTGATTTCACTTTTTTGTATTTCTCTGGTTAGCAACGTATTTACGTCGTATCTTTTGTAGTTGTATCTTAAGAGGACGACCTTCTGCGTAAAAATTTCATCACAGTGATGTCTTCATCCATTGAAAAAGTATCAAATCAGGATGCGCACAATTACGCTGCACACAGTTCCCCCATTTTCCTCTACATTTAAAAAAAAAAAAATCAGACTCGCAATTAATCTAAAAATGGTTAAAATACAATTATTATATATAATCCTAAAAGACATTTTTTTTAAATCAATAAATAAAAGAAGAGCAACGAGATTATACTGTAAGATATTTAATAATCGTACATATACAAACGTTTCGACATCGATCGGGTCATTTTCAATGTAAAACAACAAAACATTATTATATAAATTATCGGAAATTTTTGGTCACATTATAATGTCCAGTGTGTGGTCCATATTTAAAATATCTTAAAGGTGATCTCACTTTTCACAATTCTTAAATTGTCTTAATGATGTAAGTTAACGTCGCTGTACATCGTCGAAGATATATCCAACAGTATTATGGCTTACTTTTTATCATACATAACTTTGTTGATTGCGTTTTCTTCTCGGCGTCTAACTTACATCATTAAGATAATTTAAGAATTGTGAAAAGTGAGATGAGATCACCTTTAAGATATTTTAAATATGGACCGCATATTGGACATTATAATGTGACCAAAAATTTCCGATAATTTATGTAATAATGTTTTGTTGTTTTACATTGAAAATGACCCGATCGGTGTCGAAACGTTTGTATATGTACGATTATTAAATATCTTACAGTATAATTGGCTCGTTGCCCTTCTTTTATTTATTGATTTATTCTAATTGAGCCATATTAACAATTATTTTCATTTTATTTTATGAGCATCACAATTTATTAAAATATATATAATTCAGTAAATTTCACACACACACACATACACACACACACACACGCACGCGCACGCACACACACACACACACCATTCTGCTCTATTAGAATTTGGTTCAAATGACTAAAGAGTGCACATCTTTCTTTCTTTCTTCTGATTTCCCCTTGATTGGTTTTGCGAATATAGAGTCAAATATAGAGTTACAGTACCATGCAGAAAGTAATGAATAACCTTCTCGGGGAGCAGAGGTCTCAAATCGAATGTAAATGGAAAATTAAGATTTCGTTAGTTAGAAATCTCATAGACCTCTTCGTACAATTCGCAACGGCCTTAAGCCTTTTTAACTTCTCTTAATCAACAGATGGAGCCATTTGGAGCCATTTTCGGCTTCCTAAACGCGAAAAATCGCGTATATGGGCGCAAGTGGGATCGAACACGAATTTACAGATCACGAATCCATCGCACCGAGCAGCAAGCCACTCGACGACCCAAGAGTGCACATCTCGGAAACGCATCTTTTAAATAAGCTGTTGGCATTTGATTTGGATGTATTCTATTCCATCTTTCTTAAGGTCTGTTCTTTTTCCAAGAATTCTAAACTAGTTCTGAATTAGTGCAATAAACTAAAGTGAAACCTGTTTTAACTTGTGCTCCCTTACGAACAAGAAGACTAGAACCAGGAGAGTCAACTCGTGCCAATAGCGGTAGTGGGGGTGAGGCAAAAAGTGGCAACGGATAACTTCCCCCATTCTTGCGCTTCATTAGTCCTCTCTGTCGCTCTATATAGTCGTCGCTCTGTCGTTCTATAATCGTCACTTTGTCGCTCTTATATCGAACTTCCACACAATGCGCAGTGCCGCTGCACATCGTGTGAATAGCCGCGGACGTTTTTTGATTTATCCCCACCACGCGAGTTGACTCTCCTGGTCTCTAGTCTTCTTGCTTACGAAAAAAAACCCTCAATTTTGGGCATTAAACACTCAAAAAGAACGCTCAAATTTGGATGTTAAACACTTTAAAAAACATTCAAATTTAGGTGTGATTTCGGACCGTTAACTGAAGATTACACTCAATTGAAGGTTAACGCCCAAAGAAAACCATCAAAATAAATTTATTATATAAAATTAATTAAATTACTTTATTGCTAAAATAATATTATTGATTTGCAACATATTTCGGAATACACACGACAAAATTATAATTGAAAAAAAAACGCTTTCTCTCATTTAGGAAGTAATTTCCTTATCTTTCTAAGCGGTCACACCCCATCCAATCTCGTCCAACGATGCTTAACTTCTGTAGTCGTACGGGAACTGCTGCTTCGATGATCCAAGGACAAGAATGTTAGTTGATGTATAACTGTGACATATCTCTATAGGGCTGCATTCGGAAACATCATTTGGGTACCCCCGTGTATCATCTTATCCTTGTTTCACATTGGGTGAACAACAAGGATAAAACGATACTTGGGGGCATTCGGATGATGTTTCTGAACGCAGCTTAGATAAAGTTTGTCAAAGACTACGTTTACACGGCTTGATTTACGCCGAAGTTACAACGTCGATGTTATGAAACTGGCCAATCATAGCACTTAAAGAAACGAATTCCAATTTCCAAATTAAACTGTTAACAGAAGATTTTTCGAATCGAAAAGATTCACGTGTATATATTGTAGATAACAAAATCGATTGCGTGTCATTGGGATTTCACGATTTTATAATGGAATCTGAAATAGCGCGTATACATATATTTTTCTCCTATACATATTTTAATTATCATCGATTCTTTCTTTTTCTTTAGAGATAAAAAAATTAATTGTTGCATATTAACTTCAATGATTCTATATCTCTAATTACCCAGTAAGCAAATTGTCCACAGAATACCAGCAGATTGATAGCAAACTCGATTAGAAAAATTCAGTAGATTCAGTAGATACATGCCACTTTTATCCGATTAAGCTTAGTGTTTTACCGACAGAGTCTATCGACTTACAATAGCTGCGTTTAGTACAAATTCAAGGTTTGCAACTGTTGTAAGATTCTTTAATACAATTGGTAATACATTTAGATCCAGTAAAAAACGAAAAGCAAGAATCAATCATATTAAAGAATCTAACATAATTTCTCAGCAGATTTTTGTAAAATTCGAGCTGACGGCTTTAACAGGAAATTCCTTTACTGTTTCAACAATTTCATTAGTTTTTTAATTATAAAATCATAATTATATATACATAAATATATATACATGTATACTTTTTCCTTAATATAAGGTTGTATTGATATGTATATACACATATATATATTAACATATATATATATGTCTGATTAGGATCAACCTTATATTAATGAAAAAGTGTGATAAAGCGCAGCAACAAAATTATGTGATGTATACATATGTATTTATTATTGTTTCACAGTAATTTATATAATAACTTTTTATTGAAAAATTAGTTTTTGCGATATTTACTTAGAACAATTTCGATTTCTTTAATCAAACTTATTTTTTATTTGTTTATATTTTGCAGACAAAATGGTAATGTACCCACACAATACGTGTAACCGATAATAAATTAAAAACATTTACCAGACTAGATAAGACACGAGCTTTGGAAAAAATTATAATTTATGCAATACATGTAAATCTGATTGACATTAGATCTCGGAAAACAGTATCATTTAATGATACATCATTTAATAATCGGATCCTACCTTAGATTAAATTATACTTCAAAAAAAAAAAATTTCTATGTGATATTTAAATCTTATTTTTATTTATGTAAAATTCTTTTTGAAGGATTTTACATAGAATTTTTTGATACTAAATAGTTATTTAAATTGAAATTTTATAAAAACACTATTTAATAATTTGGCCAAATTATTAAAACATTTGGTAAAATTATTACTTTCTTCTTGTCCTTACAATTTGTTATAACATCTAACAAACTCTGGTTCCTTTTATAGTCTTTGTATCATATATTGAGAATGCACGCGTCGTACTTGTTTTCGATTGAAGATGATGTAATTTGTCTGTCGTAGTACTTAGAATTAATACGAAATACTTCTACAACAATTATTTGTTAATTATAATAACAATTATTTGTTAATTGTACTTATAAGATATGAAAATACGTATTATAAAATAACGGAGAGAAATATTCGTACATAATAATTTAACAAATGAGGTTTCATAACATAACAATTAAATCTTAGTTTACAACGGCTAATTATGATGTGACTCCGATATCGTTTATAGTTACAGTGCAGGACGAATTTTCGATTAATCTTAAATCCTTCCAAACATTAATTTTCCGGATTTCACCATGTAACCTTGTTATCATCAATCTCGTGGCTGGTATTCTTGCCCAATATTTTCCCAACGCTGGTATTATATCAGTAGAATCCGTTTGTCCTGGAGAATTCCATCGGGTGATTATGTTCACAGTAATTACAACTGCTTGATACTCCATTGTAAGGAATCGACATACTTCGGCCAAATCTTCGAGCTCATAAGTTGTCTCGTTATCACTTTGTTGCGCGTTTCGTGTTACCTTAAAGAAGAAATGACCGATTATTCAAAAAATACGAGCACATTCACATATAAATTAATTTCAATATCACAGAATTAATATAAATATTATATTAATATTAACATCGAATTCTCAAATTATTATTTATCTTAATACTATAAATAATATGAATTAATTTAATATTTGAATTATCAAATAGACAAGAAACATTATTATTCCTTAATTTGTGTGTGTGTGTGTGTGTGTTAATCGTTATTTTTGACATTGATATAACAATAATATAAGGTTTCATCAATAATATATTTGGAATGTTATACAGATCACCAATAAAAATTTATTTTCTAAGGCACCTTGAAGATAATTGCCGGTAAAGAATCGATGATCACGAGGAGCACCTTTCTTTCTTCAAAAGACGCTTCATTTTGCTTCTGTTTGCAAAGAGTTACCAATTGTCGCAAAGCTTTTATCAATTCGTGAGAGGAACGGGTTTGATAAATTTTTGTACTGCGCAATGCATCTTCTATAATCTGTGAGAAAGAAAATTGCTTTTCAGAACTCACAGTAAAATCAGTAGCATTTTAAAGATAATTAATTACATAAAAAGTTTATTTTACAAATCTGTTATTTATTCAGTTATTTATTTCTTTCTTTTTAAGGATTACTTTTCAATTATACTGCTATAATTGTGATAGATATACGAATACACGTTGATATTTTTATTGCTATTTGCAGTTAATGTTATTACCTTTTGCTCAAAATTTCTCGCTCTCATAATTCCCTCATATCGCAACCTGCAGAAATCTTTCTTTGTGTCAAAATACCATACAATGCCGTCCGACCGGCTGGCGACGTTAGCTGCTATTGTGAAACATAATTGAGTCTTCCCGGAGGCCGAAGGTCCACATAATTCGCATAACTGTCCGGGATACAGGCCACCTCTCAGCAATTCGTCCAAACTATTCGAGAATATGAGACATTATTAATTAAAAATCAAAAAGTACATTCTCTCTTCTTCCTCTATCTAAAAGCATTGTATGATTTATTTTTGTATTTTTAAATTTCTCATCACATATTTTTATTAATCACAATGAATTCAATTAAGGGATAACTTGTAAACGTACCACGTTACGCTGATCGGAATTACATTACGTTCTATCGCAAGGAGTTGTGTTGCATTCTTCTTTATGCCACCGAACTTCTTCAATATATATTGCTTCACTTGCAACACATCCTACAAATAATAATATTTGATTGAATTTATGAATATTGAGTAAGCAAAACAACTATCTTTCAATTTCTTATTTTTTATTTATTATATATATTTCATTCAGTTTTTCCAAATAAAAGTTAAATGAGTTAATATCTTGGCGGAAAAAAATTTTTACCAAAAAGTACAAAAAAAACTACATAGATTGAAATAAGATCTTAGAAATTCTTAATTTTTCATAGATATTCGTAGTGGGAAGTAGAGTGAGGTTTTTTGTCTTAGAAATTCTTAGTTTTTCGTAAATATTCGTAGTGGGACGTAGAGTGGCGTTGTTTGAGGGCGGAGGATTTAAAAATTTTTTGAAACAAACAATACCGCTCTACGTCCCACTACGAATATCTATGAAAAATTAAGAATTTCTAAGGCCGGAATCAGACTATGCATTGAAGATTGAGGTTGAAGATTGAAGATTAAAATTTGACCAATAAGGACAAAGAAATTTTAGCTCCTTTCGTTTCGATTGGTCAAATTTGAATTTTTCAATCTTCAATCTCAATCTTCAATGCATAGTCTGATTCCGGCCTAAGATCTTGTTTCAATCTATGTAGTTTTTTTGTACTTTTTGGTAAAAATTTTTTTCCGCCAAGATATTAACTCATTTAACTTTTATTTGGAAAAACTTTCTATCTATGAAAAATCTAATGCGTGATCTACAATGGGCAGTAACAGTAGAGGATTAAGGAATAGGCGTAGAAATCAACCAATCATAGTCGAATGTAAGAAGGTTAATCAACTATGATCGTCGATTTCTATACTTACTCCTTAATCCACTACTGCTATCACTCATTATTAATAGACCCCGCATAATAATTTCTAAAATCTTGCCTCAATCTATGTAGTTTTTCGTAAAAGATTTTCCGCCAGGATATCGATCGAAAGATACTAATTTTTAAATCAAATATCTTATCATTAGAATTATCATTGAATTAATTGAAGCCATTTCAAATGTATCACATATATTTTTAAAATTATTAATTCCCATTTTCACCAATGTAGTTTAATTTTATTCTCAGTTCAACTAACTTTTCAACTTTTTCTAGTTCCAAAATAAAAAAAAAGATGAAGAACAAGTTGAACCAAAATTAAAATTAATTTACATTGATAGAAACGGGCATAAAAAAGAAAACGTCCCAATTTCTTTTCATCTATTTCAATTCTTGATGTCTAAAAACGGCGCTTATTCTCCGGTAACATTTTCGAAAATATTTTTACTTTATCTTTTTTTTACGAAATACGCACCGTGTGCGAAAGACCGGTAATATTCGTTAATTTAATTGGATCCGTTGAGACAAAATCCACGATTGTGACCACATTTCTCCGCCGTAAATTCTCCGTTACAGTTTCCAATAAACTTGGATGAACATCTGCGTTCAGTTTTGCCATTTTTCACCTTTACCGAATATCTGCAAAAGAATCAAAAAATCAGCTCAAAAATTTTCCCTTCAGAAAGAATCTTATAGAAATGTAATACTTATAGTGACCAATTTATATATAATCATTCAACAAATCTTTTAATATTAATTAAAAATAAGTGATTAATTGGCCAGTATTAGCCCAGATCCTCATACGGGCAACTGCAGCACTTAAAATATTAAATAATATTATATTCTTATAAGGTCTTACCTACATTTATTATTTATTTAATTTGTTACAAAATTTCTTTTAACCCTTACAAAAATTGAATACTTAGCCCGGATCCTTATACGAGCAATAGCGCTTTGACACCGAGAGCTGATTGGTGAAAAGTCGGTTGTGGAGGTAAATTTTATCCCC